ATGTCTGCCCTGGTCTCTCCAAGATGTCTGCCCTGGTCTCTCCAAGATGTCTGCCCTGGTCTCTCCAAGATGTCTGCCCTGGTCTCTCCAAGATGTCTGCCCTGGTCTCTCCAAGGTCTGCCCTGGTCTCTCCAAGATGTCTGCCCTGGTCTCTCCAAGATGTCTGCCCCTGGTCTCTCCAAGATGTCTGCCCTGGTCTCTCCAAGATGTCTGCCCTGGTCTCTCCAAGATGTCTGCCCCTGGTCTCTCCAAGATGTCTGCCCTGGTCTCTCCAAGATGTCTGCCCTGGTCTCTCCAAGATGTCTGCCCCTGGTCTCTCCAAGATGTCTGCCCTGGTCTCTCCAAGATGTCTGCCCCTGGTCTCTCCAAGATGTCTGCCCCTGGTCTCTCCAAGATGTCTGCCCTGGTCTCTCCAAGATGTCTGCCTCTGGTCTCTCCAAGATGTCTGCCCTGGTCTCTCCAAGATGTCTGCCCTGGTCTCTCCAAGATGTCTGCCCTGGTCTCTCCAAGATGTCTGCCCTGGTCTCTCCAAGATGTCTGCCCTGGTCTCTCCAAGATGTCTGCCCTGGTCTCTCCAAGATGTCTGCCCTGGTCTCTCCAAGATGTCTGCCCTGGTCTCTCCAAGATGTCTGCCCTGGTCTCTCAAGATGTCTGCCCTGGTCTCTCCAAGATGTCTGCCCTGGTCTCTCCAAGATGTCTGCCCTGGTCTCTCCAAGATGTCTGCCCTGGTCTCTCCAAGATGTCTGCCCTGGTCTCTCCAAGATGTCTGCCCTGGTCTCTCCAAGATGTCTGCCCTGGTCTCTCCAAGATGTCTGCCCTGGTCTCTCCAAGATGTCTGCCCTGGTCTCTCCAAGATGTCTGCCCCTGGTCTCTCCAAGATGTCTGCCCCTGGTCTCTCCAAGATGTCTGCCCCTGGTCTCTCCAAGATGTCTGCCCCTGGTCTCTCCAAGATGTCTGCCCCTGGTCTCTCCAAGATGTCTGCCCCTGGTCTCTCCAAGATGTCTGCCCCTGGTCTCTCCAAGATGTCTGCCCCTGGTCTCTCCAAGATGTCTGCCCTGGTCTCTCCAAGATGTCTGCCCTGGTCTCTCCAAGATGTCTGCCCTGGTCTCTCCAAGATGTCTGCCCTGGTCTCTCCAAGATGTCTGCCCTGGTCTCTCCAAGATGTTGCCTGGTCTCTCCAGATGTCTGCTCTGTCTCTCAAGATGTCTGCCTCTGGTCTCTCCAAGATGTCTGCCTCTGGTCTCTCCAAGATGTCTGCCTCTGGTCTCTCCAAGATGTCTGCCCTGGTCTCTCCAAGATGTCTGCCCTGGTCTCTCCAAGATGTCTGCCCTGGTCTCTCCAAGATGTCTGCCCTGGTCTCTCCAAGATGTCTGCCCTGGTCTCTCCAAGATGTCTGCCCTGGTCTCTCCAAGATGTCTGCCCTGGTCTCTCCAAGATGTCTGCCCTGGTCTCTCTCCAGATGTCTGCCCTGGTCTCTCCAAGATGTCTGCCCTGGTCTCTCCAAGATGTCTGCCCTGGTCTCTCCAAGATGTCTGCCCTGGTCTCTCCAAGATGTCCTCCCCTGGTCTCCAAGATGTCTGCCCTGGTCTCTCCAAGATGTCTGCCCTGGTCTCTCCAAGATGTCTGCCCTGGTCTCTCCAAGATGTCTGCCCTGGTCTCTCCAAGATGTCTGCCCTGGTCTCTCCAAGATGTCTGCCCTGGTCTCTCCAAGATGTCTGCCCTGGTCTCTCCAAGATGTCTGCCCTGGTCTCTCCAAGATGTCTGCCCCTGGTCTCTCCAAGATGTCTGCCCTGGTCTCTCCAAGATGTCTGCCCCTGGTCTCTCCAAGATGTCTGCCCCTGGTCTCTCCAAGATGTCTGCCCCTGGTCTCTCCAAGATGTCTGCCCCTGGTCTCTCCAAGATGTCTGCCCCTGGTCTCTCCAAGATGTCTGCCCCTGGTCTCTCCAAGATGTCTGCCCTGGTCTCTCCAAGATGTCTGCCCTGGTCTCTCCAAGATGTCTGCCCTGGTCTCTCCAAGATGTCTGCCCGTCTCTCCAAGATGTCTGCCCTGGTCTCTCCAAGATGTCTGCCCCTGGTCTCTCCAAGATGTCTGCCCTGGTCTCTCCAAGATGTCTGCCCTGGTCTCTCCAAGATGTCTGCCCTGGTCTCTCCAAGATGTCTGCCCTGGTCTCTCCAAGATGTCTGCCCTGTCCTGGTCTCTCCAAGATGTCTGCCCTGGTCTCTCCAAGATGTCTGCCCTGGTCTCTCCAAGATGTCTGCCCTGGTCTCTCCAAGATGTCTGCCCTGGTCTCTCCAAGATGTCTGCCCTGGTCTCTCCAAGATGTCTGCCCCTGGTCTCTCCAAGATGTCTGCCCCTGGTCTCTCCAAGATGTCTGCCCCTGGTCTCTCCAAGATGTCTGCCCCTGGTCTCTCCAAGATGTCTGCCCCTGGTCTCTCCAAGATGTCTGCCCCTGGTCTCTCCAAGATGTCTGCCCCTGGTCTCTCCAAGATGTCTGCCCCTGGTCTCTCCAAGATGTCTGCCCCTGGTCTCTCCAAGATGTCTGCCCCTGGTCTCTCCAAGATGTCTGCCCCTGGTCTCTCCAAGATGTCTGCCCCTGGTCTCTCCAAGATGTCTGCCCTGGTCTCTCCAAGATGTCTGCCCTGGTCTCTCCAAGATGTCTGCCCTGGTCTCCCAAGATGTCTGCCTCTGGTCTCTCCAAGATGTCTGCCCTGGTCTCTCCAAGATGTCTGCCCTGGTCCTCTCCAAGATGTCTGCCCTGGTCTCTCCAAGATGTCTGCCCTGGTCTCTCCAAGATGTCTGCCCTGGTCTCTCCAAGATGTCTGCCCTGGTCTCTCCAAGATGTCTGCCCTGGTCTCTCCAAGATGTCTGCCCTGGTCTCTCCAAGATGTCTGCCCTGGTCTCTCCAAGATGTCTGCCCTGGTCTCTCCAAGATGTCTGCCCTGGTCTCTCCAAGATGTCTGCCCGGTCTCTCCAAGATGTCTGCCCCTGGTCTCTCCAAGATGTCTGCCCTGGTCTCTCCAAGATGTCTGCCCCTGGTCTCTCCAAGATGTCTGCCCCTGGTCTCTCCAAGATGTCTGCCCCTGGTCTCTCCAAGATGTCTCAAGTGTGCCCCTGGTCTCTCCAAGATGTCTGCCCCTGGTCTCTCCAAGATGTCTGCCCTGGTCTCTCCAAGATGTCTGCCCCTGGTCTCTCCAAGATGTCTGCCCCTGGTCTCTCCAAGATGTCTGCCCTGGTCTCTCCAAGATGTCTGCCCTGGTCTCTCCAAGATGTCTGCCCTGGTCTCTCCAAGATGTCTGCCTCTGGTCTCTCCAAGATGTCTGCCTCTGGTCTCTCCAAGAAGTCTGCCCTGGTCTCTCCAAGATGTCTGCCTCTGGTCTCTCCAAGATGTCTGCCTCTGGTCTCTCCAAGATGTCTGCCCTGGTCTCTCCAAGATGTCTGCCCTGGTCTCTCCAAGATGTCTGCCCTGGTCTCTCCAAGATGTCTGCCCTGGTCTCTCCAAGATGTCTGCCCTGGTCTCTCCAAGATGTCTGCCTCTGGTCTCTCCAAGATGTCTGCCCTGGTCTCTCCAAGATGTCTGCCTCTGGTCTCTCCAAGATGTCTGCCTCTGGTCTCTCCAAGATGTCTGCCCTGGTCTCTCCAAGATGTCTGCCCTGGTCTCTCCAAGATGTCTGCCCTGGTCTCTCCAAGATGTCTGCCCTGGTCTCTCCAAGATGTCTGCCCTGGTCTCTCCAAGATGTCTGCCCTGGTCTCTCCAATATGTCTGCCCTGGTCTCTCCAAGATGTCTGCCCTGGTCTCTCCAAGATGTCTGCCCTGGTCTCTCCAAGATGTCTGCCCCTGGTCTCTCCAAGATGTCTGCCCCTGGTCTCTCCAAGATGTCTGCCCTGGTCTCTCCAAGATGTCTGCCCCTGGTCTCTCCAAGATGTCTGCCCCTGGTCTCTCCAAGATGTCTGCCCCTGGTCTCTCCAAGATGTCTGCCCCTGGTCTCTCCAAGATGTCTGCCCCTGGTCTCTCCAAGATGTCTGCCCTGGTCTCTCCAAGATGTCTGCCCCTGGTCTCTCCAAGATGTCTGCCCCTGGTCTCTCCAAGATGTCTGCCCTGGTCTCTCCAAGATGTCTGCCCTGGTCTCTCCAAGATGTCTGCCCCTGGTCTCTCCAAGATGTCTGCCCCTGGTCTCTCCAAGATGTCTGCCCCTGGTCTCTCCAAGATGTCTGCCCCTGGTCTCTCCAAGATGTCTGCCCCTGGTCTCTCCAAGATGTCTGCCCTGGTCTCTCCAAGATGTCTGCCCTGGTCTCTCCAAGATGTCTGCCCTGGTCTCTCCAAGATGTCTGCCCTGGTCTCTCCAAGATGTCTGCCCTGGTCTCTCCAAGATGTCTGCCCTGGTCTCTCCAATATGTCTGCCCTGGTCTCTCCAAGATGTCTGCCCTGGTCTCTCCAAGATGTCTGCCCTGGTCTCTCCAAGATGTCTGCCCCTGGTCTCTCCAAGATGTCTGCCCCTGGTCTCTCCAAGATGTCTGCCCCTGGTCTCTCCAAGATGTCTGCCCCTGGTCTCTCCAAGATGTCTGCCCCTGGTCTCTCCAAGATGTCTGCCCTGGTCTCTCCAAGATGTCTGCCCCTGGTCTCTCCAAGATGTCTGCCCCTGGTCTCTCCAAGATGTCTGCCCTGGTCTCTCCAAGATGTCTGCCCCTGGTCTCTCCAAGATGTCTGCCCCTGGTCTCTCCAAGATGTCTGCCCTGGTCTCTCCAAGATGTCTGCCTCTGGTCTCTCCAAGATGTCTGCCTCTGGTCTCTCCAAGATGTCTGCCCTGGTCTCTCCAAGATGTCTGCCTCTGGTCTCTCCAAGATGTCTGCCCTGGTCTCTCCAAGATGTCTGCCCTGGTCTCTCCAAGATGTCTGCCCTGGTCTCTCCAAGATGTCTGCCCTGGTCTCTCTCCTCCTTGATGGCTCTCTCCAAACTAAACTGTACCAATAATAATAAAATTGAAATAAAAGTGGTACTCACTTTGAGGAACACGGCCTTGACTTTCCCGCAGTCTTTCCCCTTCTCCTCGTCCACGACGGAGTGCAGCAGGTCTTTGGACGGGATGCGAGCATATGCCATCCTCTTGTTGTTGCTCATCATCCACACAAACACGTCCGGGATGCTGTGCTGGGGCTGGTCCACATCAGGTCTTGGTCAGACCAGGTCTTGGTCGGACCAGGTCTTGGTCAGACCAGGTCTTGGTCGGACCAGGTCTTGGTCAGGTCTTGGTCAGGTCTTGGTCAGACCAGGTCATGGTCGGACCAGGTCATGGTCGGACCAGGTCATGGTCGGACCAGGTCATGGTCAGGTCTTGGTCAGGTCTTGGTCAGGTCTTGGTCAGGTCTTGGTCAGGTCTTGGTCAGGTCTTGGTCAGGTCATGGTCAGGTCTTGGTCAGGTCTTGGTCAGGTCTTGGTCAGGTCTTGGTCAGGTCTTGGTCAGGTCTTGGTCAGGTCTTGGTCAGGTCTTGGTCGGACCAGGTCATGGTCGGACCAGGTCATGGTCAGACCAGGTCTTGGTCAGGTCTTGGTCAGGTCTTGGTCAGGTCTTGGTCAGAGTAGTTCCTCTGGTGTAGGAGGGTCTCAGGACCGTGCTGATCCAGGAAACACTACATTAAACCACATGTAAAGGTTTATCGAAGGATTTTCCAACATTTTAGGAAAGAATCGCCTTCTCCACTTCTTAAACAAACCTCTCTGGTCTAGAGTGAAATCAAATAAAAAAGATCAAACTCTGGAGCTTTAAAGACCTTATGCCGGGTTTGATTTATTTAGAAATACAGTTTTAATACCATTTTATATCAGAAGAGAACTACTAAAGGTTTCAAAATCAGTTGTTGTTTTTTTTGTCTGATCCCCCCAAATCGAAATAACCCCATAGCAACGCCCTTAGAGACGAAAAAACTTCACAGCCCTTGGTGACGTCAGAACGGGTACGTTTCAACGCTGTAAGTTGTTTACAATTTGGTATTTGTTCTTTTTTCGCGGATATTCAAGATGACAAGGCCGTGTACAGAGTCTAAAATAACTACTAGAATGAAACATTTCGTTGTCACTGAGATAGTCCAGTGGTTGTGTCGATGGACTGTCAATCCAGATACTCAGGTTCAAATCCCACCTCGGACACATTTTCACTCTCAAACGGCAATTTATGTGTAGTGAGCAATTGTCACCTGTAGAGGGCAGTATTGTGTTGGGCATCAGTGGAGAGAAGAGAGAAAAGGCAGTCCTGTGGCATAGATCCATGGTTTTCAATGCATGGGCGTAACCCGCTGTGACGTCACACACAGGTTAGAGCATAGACAACTTCAATTCATGAAAAACACGTTCTTTTTATAAAATATAGGATTTATTTTGCCGGAATCTCTTTCAAATTGACATTGTCATGCAATTTTGATATCCACTATTTTTTTTTTTTTAAACCCGTCATAAGGTCTTTAATGTCCCTTGGTTCAAGACTAAGTCACTAGTGGAGGTTACACGGTCACTTTTGGACCAATGGCTTTATATGTTTTTATCCTTACATTTCCTCCGTGTGAACTGTTTGATTCTCTTCATAAAGTCCTCTGGGAGAAAACTACTGTTGGGTTTTAGGGTGATACAAAAATGCTCTGAATTGAATTGATTTGTCTGTTGTGAGAGTCGCAGGACTCGGGGAGAACGCACCTCGTCCACCAGGAAGCGCAGTCTCTGGAGGAAGTTCTGGGCCACTTTGAGTTTGTCTTTGAGGCTGTTCTTCTTCACTTGAGTCCGCATCTGCTTGGCCTGCTGCCCCATACTGTCCTGTGGAAGGAGGAGCACAAATATTTTAATTCTCAAGCTGATTTGAAAAGCAGTGTTTAGTGCTGCGTCCACAGAACCTCCTCAAACTCATCTCCTCTAGTCTTTTCTAATCCATTGTTACAGCAGCTCCCTGAATTTTCACCTCTCACTCCACTCAGATGGAAATATGTCTGCCTCTGGTCTCTCCAAGATGTCTGCCTCTGGTCTCTCCAAGATGTCTGCCCCTAACAAGCTATCCTGTTACTCATTGAAACGTTCTATTAAATCTGCAAAGCGCAGTTACGGGGACAGGTTAAAGAGTTATTTTGAGGAAGATGACCCTCGGCGCATGTGGAACGGTATTAAAGCCATCACATCGTGGAAACCTAGCGCTGGGAAAACTGCATCTGTCGGCCAAGCTCTGCCAAACGAGCGGAACACGTTCTACTGTCGCTTTGAATCCGCTGATGCCTGTCCTACTGTATTCCCTGAGTGTTTCAATCAAGGTCCCTTCACCGTGACTCAGGAGGAAGTCAGGCGTGTCATGTCCAGGACCACAGTCCAGAAAGCCCCAGGCCCGGACGGCATCCCTCCTCGTGTCCTGAAACTGTGCTCTGAGCAACTTGCTCCTGTGCTAACAGACATTTTCAACCTGTCGCTAAGGAACTGTACTGTGCCGAACTGCTTTAAAGAGTCCACCATCATTCCAGTTCCTAAGAAAACTCCTGTGACATGCCTGAATGACTATCGTCCTGTGGCCCTCACGTCTGTTCTTATGAAAACTTTTGAGCGGCTTGTGCTGGACTTCATTAAGAGCCAGATCCCTGTGAGTGTTGACCCGCTCCAGTTTGTTACAGACAGAACAGGAGTGTGGAGGATGCATCTCCTTTGCTCTGAACTCTGTCTACAGTCACTTGGACACTAGTAAATCTGTGGCCAGAATGCTTTTCATCGATTATAGCTCTGCTTTTAACTGCCTTGTCCCAGGTAAACTGATTGAAAAGCTCATGTCTCTGGGTTTAAGTGTTGCCAAGTGTAAATGGATTTTTAGCTTTTTAACTGACAGATCTCAGAGAGTGTTTTTCTGATGTTGTTTCTGTGAGCACTGGTTCTCCTCAGGGATGTATTTTGAGTCCTTTGCTTTTTACTTTGTACACTCACGATTGTGTGTCCTCCTCTGACTCTAACTTGATCATTAAATATGCTGATGACACCACCATCATCGGTCTCATTAGTGACACTGATGAATCCTCTTATAGAGCAGAGATACAAAATGTGGTTCAGTGGAGTCAAACTAACAACCTCCAGTTGAACGCATCCAAAACATGTGAACTGGTCACGACTTCAGTCGCAATAGTTCTCATTTGCCTGTCGTAATCGACAACTCCCAGGTGCAGATCGTAGAGGAGCAAGTTTCTGGGTTTAACTCTGTCTAACCTGAAATGGGTTAAAAACACTGACCGAGTCGTTAAGAAAGCTCGTCAGCGTCTCTACTTTCTGCGTAAACTTAGAGAATTTACCACTAACTCTAAGATTGTGCTTAACTTTTATGGCTGCACCATTGAGAGTTTACTTGTTGGTTCTGTGTCTGTGTGGTTTGGAAACATCACAGATAAAGAAAAGAGAGCTTTAAACAAGGTGCTCCGCTCTGCAAAGAGGACCGTGGGCTGTGAGCTTCCTGTTCTGGAGGTTCTTTATAAATCCAGACTTTTAAACAAAGCTCTTAGGATTGTTAATGACTCTTCTGGCCACCCTGGGAAAGCCATGTTCCAGCTTCTTCCCTCTGGCAGAAGATATCGCTCTCTGAGATGCAGGACATCTCGTTACGCTAACAGTTTTTATCCACAGGCTGTTATCAGTGTGAACAGAGCACTTTAACGATTTGCACTTGTTTTGAAACTGTTTTAGTCGATCCATTTCACAGTGACATTTGTTTACTGTTTTATTTGTTTTATTTCTGTCTTTTAATGTTGTTTTATGTCTGTATTTGTCTGTGCACACTGGAGACTTTTGCTAATGTATTCCAATGTGGTTTTACTGCAAATGGCAAATAAACTGAATCAGAATCTGAATCTGGTCACTCCAAGATGTCTGTCCTTGGTCTCTCCAAGATGTCTGCCCTGGTCTCTCCAAGATGTCTGCCCCTGGTCTCTCCAAGATATCTGCCTCTGGTCTCTCCAAGATGTCTGCCCCTGGTCTCTCCAAGATGTCTGCCTCTAGTCTCTCCAAGATGTCTGCTCCTGGTCTCTCCAAGATGTCTGCCCCTGGTCTCTCCAAGATGTCTGCCCCTGGTCTCTCCAAGATGTCTGCCTCTGGTCTCTCCAAGATGTCTGCCTCTAGTCTCTCCAAGATGTCTGCTCCTGGTCTCTCCAAGATGTCTGCCTCTAGTCTCTCCAAGATGTCTGCTCCTGGTCTGTCCAAGATGTCTGCCCCTGGTCTCTCCAAGATGTCTGTCCTTGGTCTCTCCAAGATGTCTGCCCTGGTCTCTCCAAGATGTCTGGCCCTGGTCTCTCCAAGATGTCTGCCCCTGGTCTCTCCAAGATGTCGGCCCTGGTCTCTCCAAGATGTCTGGCCCTGGTCTCTCCAAGATGTCTGGCCCTGGTCTCTCCAAGATGTCGGCCCTGGTCTTTCCAAGATGTCGGCCCTGGTCTCTCCAAGATGTCTGGCCCTGGTCTCTCCAAGATGTCGGCCCTGGTCTCTCCAAGATGTCTGGCCCTGGTCTCTCCAAGATGTCGGCCCTGGTCTTTCCAAGATGTCGGCCCTGGTCTCTCCAAGATGTCTGGCCCTGGTCTCTCCAAGATGTCTGGCCCTGGTCTCTCCAAGATGTCTGGCCCTGGTCTCTCCAAGATGTCGGCCCTGGTCTTTCCAAGATGTCGGCCCTGGTCTCTCCAAGATGTCTGCCCCTGGTCTCTCCAAGATGTCGGCCCTGGTCTCTCCAAGATGTCTGGCCCTGGTCTCTCCAAGATGTCGGCCCTGGTCTCTCCAAGATGTCTGGCCCTGGTCTCTCCAAGATGTCGGCCCTGGTCTCTCCAAGATGTCTGGCCCTGGTCTCTCCAAGATGTCGGCCCTGGTCTCTCCAAGATGTCTGGCCCTGGTCTCTCCAAGATGTCGGCCCTGGTCTTTCCAAGATGTCGGCCCTGGTCTCTCCAAGATGTCTGCCCCTGGTCTCTCAAAGATGTCGGCCCTGGTCTCTCCAAGATGTCTGGCCCTGGTCTCTCCAAGATGTCGGCCCTGGTCTCTCCAAGATGTCTGGCCCTGGTCTCTCCAAGATGTCGGCCCTGGTCTCTCCAAGATGTCTGGCCCTGGTCTCTCCAAGATGTCTGGCCCTGGTCTTTCCAAGATATCTGGTTCGTGGTGAGTTATAGTTCATGTCTTAGGACCAGGTCTGCTGTTAGCTGTTTGCATGTTCTCCCCATGTCTGTGTAGGTTTCCTTCGGCTGCTCCTGTTTACCCACCACTAAAAACATGCACAGAAGGCCTGACAGCGCCCCCTGTAGGTGACCTCGCTCTCTGTGTGGAAAAGGTCTGCGTGACTCTGATCTGTGAAAGGCGCTATATAAATAAACAGACTTACTGCCTTACCTTCAACAAGGCTTTTTGTTCTGTCCCTATCAAATAAACATATAATAATAATAATAATAATAATAATAATAGTGATAATAACAATAATTATAGTTTGAAGCCAACCATGGATCGCACTAATACGAGAACGGTGACGTCGCCCGGCATGGCGCAGCCGGGGCCCCACCCTGGAGCCAGGCCTGGGGTCGGGGCTCGAATGCGAGCGCCTGGTGGCCGGGCCTTATCCCACGGGGCCCTGGGCTCAGCCCAAAGGGTCGACGTGGGCAGTCCCTCCTGTGGGCCCACCACCCGCAGAGGGGTCCGTGGTGGTTCGGTGCAGAGAGGACTGGGCAGCAGTCGAAGGCGGAGACCTCGGTGACCCAGTCCACACACACAACATCTGGCTCTTGGGACGTGGAACGTCACCTCACTGGGGGGGAAGGAGCCCGAGCTTGTGGGGGAGGTTGAGCGATACCGACTAGAGATAGTCGGCCTCACCTCCACACACAGCTTGGGCTCTGGAACCCAACTCCTTGAGAGGGGTTGGACGCTCCACTTTTCTGGAGTTTCTCGCGGGGAGAGGCGGCGAGCTGGGGTGGCCATACTCATTGCCCCCCATCTCAGCTCCACGTGTTGGAGTTCTCCCCGGTGAATGAGAGGGTCGCGTCCCTCCGCCTCCGGGTGGGGAACAAGTCTCTCACTGTTGTTGTGCCTATGGGCCTAACGGTAGTGCAGAGTATTCGGCCTTCTTGGAGTCCTTGGGAGGGGTACTGGACAGTGCACCGCCCGGGGACTCCGTCATTCTCCTGGGGGACTTCAACGCCCATGTGGGGGACGCCAGTGACACTTGGAGAGGGGTGAAGGGGAAGAACAGCCCTGATCTGAACCCGAGCGGTGTTCAGTTGTTGGACTTCTGTGCCAGTCACAGTTTGTCCATCACCAACACCATGTTCCAGCACAAGGGTGTCCACCAGGGGGCGCCAGGACCTGAGGCCGGAGGTCGATGATCGACTTTGTTGTCGTATCATCTGACCTTCGACCGCGTGTCTCGGACACTCGGGTGAAGAGAGGGGCGGAGCTAAAGAGAGGGGCGGAGCTGTCACCGATCACCACCTGGTCGTGAGTTGGATCCGCTGCAGGGGAAGAAGCCGGTCAGACCTGGCAGACCCAAGCGTGTAGTGAGGGTCTGCTGGGAACGTCTCGCTGAACCCCCTGTCAGACGGACTTTCAACTCACACCTCCGGGAGAGCTTCTCCCAGGTCCCGGCGGAGGAGGGGGATATCGAGTCCGAGTGGACCATGTTCTCTTCCTCTATCGCCGATGCGGCGGCTCGTAGCTGTGGTCGCAAGGTCTCTGGTGCTGGTCCTGGCGGCAACCCCCGAACCCGGTGGTGGACACCGGCAGTAAGGGATGCTGTCAGACTGTAGAAGGAGTCCTATCGAGCAATGATGGTTCATGGGACTCCTGAGGCAGCTGTCCAGTACCGGCAGCCAAGTGTGCCGCGGCCCGGGCTGTTGCAGAGGCAAAAACCCGGGACTGGGAGGAGTTTGGAGATTCCATGGAGCATGACTATCGGTCGGCCTCAAAGAGGTTCTGGCAAACCATCCGGTGCCTCAGGAGGGGGAAGCAGTTCTTTGCCAACACCATGTACGGTGCGGGTGGAGAGCTGCTGACCTCGACTGGGGATATTGTCGGGCGGTGGAAGGAATACTTCGAGGTTCTCCTCTATCCCCCCGTCACGTCCTCCGTCCAGGAGGCAGAGGCTGAGGATGTTGGGGCGGATACTTTCATCTCCCTGGCGGAGGTGGATGAGATCCGTCCTGACTATCTAGAGTCTCTGGATGTTGTAGGACTGTCTTGGCTGACACGTCTCTGCAACATCGCGTGGCGATCGGGGGCAGTGCCAATGGAGTGGCAGACCGGGGTGGTGGTCCCTCTCTACAAGAAGGGGGACCGGAGGGTGTGTTCCAATTATCGTGGGATCACACTCCTCAGCCTCCCCGGTAAGGTCTACTCCAAGGTACTGGAGAGGAGGTTACGGCCGATGGTCGAATCTCGGATCCAGGAGGAGCAGTGTGGTTTTCATCCCGGTCGCGGAACACTGGACCAGCTCTATACTCTCCATCGGATACTCGAGGGTTCATGGGAGTTCGCCCAACCTGTCCACATGTGCTTTGTGGATTTGGAGAAGGCGTTCGACTGTGTTCCCCGGGGTGTCCTTTGGGGGGTTCTCCGGGAGTACGGGGTCCGGGGTCCTCTGCTGAGGGCCGTCCGGTCCCTGTATGACCGGAGTCAGAGCTGTGTTCGCATTGCCGGCAGTAAGTCAGACCTGTTCCCGGTGCATGTTGGCCTCCGCCAGGGCTGTCCTTTGTCACCGGTTCTGTTCACTGTATTTATGGACAGAATATCTAGGCGCAGCCAGGGGCCGGAGGGGGTCCGGTTCGGAGACCACGGGATTTCATCTCTACTTTTTGCGGATGACGTCGTCCTGTTGGCTCCAACGAACCAGGACCTGCAGCATGCACTGGGGCGGTTTGCAGCCGAGTGTGAAGCGGCTGGGATGAGAATCAGCACCTCCAAATCCGAGGCCATGGTGCTCGACCGGAGAAAGGTGCCTTGCCCTCTTCAGGTGGGTGGAGAGGTCCTTCCTCAAGTGGAGGAGTTCAAGTATCTCGGGGTCTTCACGAGTGAGGGAAGAATGGAGCGTGAGATTGACAGGCGGATCGGTGCAGCGTGCGCAGTTATGCGGTCGCTGTATCGGACCGTTGTGGTGAAGAGGGAGCAGCGTCTGCAGTCAGAGCTGTATCGGACCGTTGTGGTAAAGAGGGAGCAGCGTCTGCAGTCAGAGCTGTATCGGACTGTTGTGGTAAAGAGGGAGCAGCGTCTGCAGTCAGAGCTGTATCGGACCGTTGTGGTAAAGAGGGAGCAGCGTCTGCAGTCAGAGCTGTATCGGACCGTTGTGGTAAAGAGGGAGCTGAGCCGAAAGGCAAAGCTCTCGATTTACCGGTCAGTCTTTGTTCCCTCCCTCACCTATGGTCATGAGCTTTGGGTAATGACCGAAAGAACGAGATCGCGGATACAAGCGGTCGAAATGAGCTTCCTCCGCAGAGTGGCTGCTCCCTTAGAGATAGGGTGAGGAGCTCAGTCACACGGGAGGAGCTCGGAGTAGAGCCGCTGCTCCCTTAGAGATAGGGTGAGGAGCTCAGTCACACGGAAGGAGCTCGGAGTAGAGCCCCTGCTCCTCCACGTCGAGAGGAACCAGTTGAGGTGGCTCGGGCATCTGTTCCGGATGCCTCCTGGACGCCTCCCTGGGGAGGTGTTCCGGGCACGTCCCACCGGGAGGAGGCCCCGCGGAAGACCTAGGACACGCTGGAGGGACTATGTCTCTCAGCTGGCCTGGGAACGCCTTGGGGTCCCCCCGGACGAGCTGGAGGAGGTGTGTGTGGATAGGGAAGTCTGGGCGTCTCTGCTTAGACTGCTGCCCCCGCGACCCGGCAACGGATGAAGCGGAAGACAATGGATGGATGGATGGATAATAATAGTTTGTTCTGGTGTTTAGAGCAGGTCCATCCTGTGGAAACAGCACCAACAGTGTTTTTCTAATCTGCTGGAGATAAGGGGCCAATTAGATCTGTTTTTCCCTGAATCAGCAGAATGAGACCCAGCTCTAAGACACAGCTCGCACTTTTAGAGAAACACATTAAATGATAAGAAAGTGTTGGCCGGGGACGGTCTCCCATCAGAGCAGACAGAATAATGCACTGAAAGAAAACGGGATTTATGGTTTATACAATCTGAGCTTGATTCACTGCTCAAATAGAACGACTTTTATGACTTCAGCTGTGGTCGAGGTGTGAGGAGGGGACCCCTGAACCCCTCCATCTGCCCACTTTGCCTGAAGCCCCCACTAAAGACTCAGCTCCTGCAGGAGGAGCAGGAGGACCAGGGGCTCAGGAGGATCAGGAGGACCAGGAGGACCAGGAGAACCAGGAGGACCAGGAGAACCAGGAGGAGCAGTGAGGAGCAGGAGGAGCAGGAGGACCAGGGGCTCAGGAGGAGCAGGATCACCAGGAGGAGCAGGGGCTAAGGGGAGCAGGAGGACCAGTGAGGAGCAGGAGGAGCAGGAGGAGCAGAAGGACCAGGAGGAGCAGGAGGACCAGGAGGACCAGGAGAACCAGGAGGACCAGGAGAACCAGGAGGACCAGTGAGGAGCAGGAGGACCAGGGGCTCAGGAGGACCAGGAGAACCAGGAGGACCAGGAGGACCAGAAGGACCAGGAGGAGCAGGAATCAGATTCAAATTCATTTATATGCCATTTGCAGTAAAACCACATTGGAAAAACTGTGCAAGACTACCCCAGTGTGCACCAGACACACACAAGAGCTCTTGCCACGGCGCCATCTTTACGGCGGACCAGGAGGAGCAGAAGGACCAGGAGGAGCAGGAGGAGCAGAAGGAGCAGTAGGACCAGGAGGGGCAGAAGGAGCAGTAGGAGCAGGAGGAGCAGGAGGAGCAGGAGGAGCAGATGGAGCAGTAGGACCAGGAGGAACAGGAGGGGCAGAAGGAGCAGTAGGAGCAGGAGGAGCAGGAGGAGCAGGCGGAGCAGAAGGAGCAGGAGGAGGATCAGGGGCCGGTGCTCTGGCTGCCACCTCTGACCCAGAAATGGATAAAGGGGAAGAATGCTTACGATCTCCCGCATGCAGGCCTTGAGGCGCTCTCGGTCCAGTCTGGTGCGTCCACTTTGGCTCACGTCCTTATTGGCCAAAGTCACAAAACGACTGAAGGAAAAACAAGAGAAAGATGTTCATAATGATAATAATGATAATAATGAGAATTAAACCCTAACCCTACTCCTACTCTAGACCTACAGTCTCTCTCCCTAAAACCTTCAAACAAGGTCAGAAATCTAGGGGTAATACTGGACTCAGACTTAAATTTTAATAGCCACATCAAATCAGTAACATCAGCAGCTTTTTACCATCTAAAAAACATTGCCAGGATCAAAAACATAGTGTCTAAAGCAGACTTGGAGATTCTTATCCATGCATTTGTCTCCAGTAGGTTAGACTACTGCAATGGCCTGCTCACAGGTCTGTCCAAACAGGCTGTAAAACAGCTGCAGTACATTCAAAATGCAGCAGCTCGAGTCCTGACTAGAACCAGGAAGTACGACCACATTAGTCCTGACTAGAACCAGGAAGTACGACCACATTAGTCCTGACTAGAACCAGGAAGTACGACCACATTAGTCCTGACTAGAACCAGGAAGTACGATCACATTAGTCCTGACTAGAACCAGGAAGTACGACCACATTAGTCCTGACTAGAACCAGGAAGTACGATCACATTAGTCCTGACTAGAACCAGGAAGTACGACCACATTAGTCCTGACTAGAACCAGGAAGTACGACCACATTAGTCCTGACTAGAACCAGGAAGTACGACCATATTAGTCCTGACTAGAACCAGGAAGTACGACCACATTAGTCCTGACTAGAACCAGGAAGTACGACCACATTAGTCCTGACTAGAACCAGGAAGTACGACCATATTAGTCCTGACTAGAACCAGGAAGTACGACCACATTAGTCCTGACTAGAACCAGGAAGTCTGTCCGTCAGGAAGTCAGTGATCCACCTGCAGGTGGGAGAGATGGGAGAGAACCAGGCGTTCAAAAGACTTCATGACGACAGACGTAAGTGCTACAGGTCTGTAGTCATTGAGTCCTGTGATCCTGGGCTTCTTCGGGACGGGGACAATGATGGAGGATTTGAAGCAGGCCGGGACATGGCAGGACTGCAGAGAGGTGTTGAAAATGTCCGTGAACACAGGAGTAAGCTCACTGGCGCAGTGTCTCAGAGTGGCCGGAGACACGTGGTCCGGGCCAGGAGCTTTGCGGGGGTGCAGCCTCAGGAAGAGTTGTTTAATCTCTTTAGCGGCTATTGTTTAGGCTGGGGGCAGGGCTGATGGGTGGGTCGTTAGAGTAGTGGGGGGTGGGGGAGGGAGAGGTGTCAGGGGCAGCATCAAAGCGACTGAAAAATAAGTTCAGATCGTCAGCTAGCTTGTGGTCATCAGCACAGGGGGGGGCTTTGGGTTTGTAGTTGGTGATCTCCCGTAGGCCCCTCCAGACAGAAGCAGTATCGTTGTTACCAAACTGCTCCTGTAGTCGTTCTCTGTGCCGGGACTTGGCTGCTTTCAGTTCTTTCCTGAACTGATATTTAGCTGCTTTGTAGCCGCTGCGGTCCCCCTCCCTGAAAGCAGACTCCTTTGCTTTCCTGAGCTGCCGGAGTTTAGCAGTGAACCAGGGTTTGTCGTTGTTATAAATGACCCTGGTCATTGTTGGAATGATGCTATCCTCACAGAAGTGAATGTATGACGTCACAGTGTCCGTGTATTCATCCAAACTATCTGTGGCAGCTCTGAAAAGGTCCCAGTCTGTAGATTCCATACATGCAGCTCTTCCACAGCTTCATCAGACCACACTTTGGAGCTCCTCACTGCAGGTTTCGAGAGCTTTAGTCTCTGTCTGTAAGCAGGAACCAGATGTATCATGGAGTGATCCAGAGTGTTCTCCTCTCTGGTCGGGCATTTGATAAACTGTCTGTATTTCGGAGACTAGTCTTGACAGGGTTATCCTCCAGCTGCTTTTGGAGGCAAATCCATGTACTGATGTCCTCCATGACAGACTCAATGTGAGCCTCTGCGAGTCTCCTGCGGCTGCTGCGGCTGCTGCGGCGTCCTTTCCGCGGTGCCAGATTCTCAGTAACAGTGCGTGTGATCTGGTCTTTCAGCTCTTGGTACTTTCCTGCACTCAAACCCTGAGACAGCCGCTCATAAAGGTGCGTCTCTGTGTCGTCGGAAACCAGTTCTTGCAGAAGAGGAGAAACTACGTCCATCATCTCCAGCACTGAGAGAGACTGAGTGGATAGCACTCTCGCCTCTCAGCAAGAAGGTCCTGGGTTCGAATCCCGGTTGGACCAGGGCCTTTCTGAGTGGAGTTTGCATGTTCTCCCCGTGTCTGCGTAGGTTTCCTCCGGGTGCTCCGGTTTCCCCTACCACTAAAAATATGTACAATAAGTCTGGCATGTGCCTCCTGTACTGGCCCCACTCCCAAAAAAAACAATTGTAAACCGCTTTGAGACTCCGATGTGCAGTGAAAAGGCGGTATATAAATAAAGATTACTACTACTTACTTACACTGACAAAGTGTCTCTTGTGCCTGGGATCTGGAGACACAAGTGACTCAATGCAGAGTAGAGTCTAGTTTTAGCTCGACACAGGACTAGGACAGACTTGATTTTATGAGTGGTCTCCTGTCGTTTGGTCTTTTTGGTGCAAGACTTGTCCAGATTGAGGGAAACGATAGATGAGGCTGCATGATCAAAGTCTTGGTTCATGCTTCTCTTTGCCTCTTGGGCCTCGCCCTCTTTTAGGCCTCCCACATAATGTGCTACTGCCTCCAGAACAAGTCTGGCGTCTGCAGTGACTTCTGCCAGACTCTGAGAGGTGCTTTGCTCTGTACTTGGGGTTTGCAATGTGCCCCTGAGGTTGCAGGTCTGGGACTTGTGTTCATTTTGGTCCCGTTTTGTCTCTTCCTTGGTCTCATTGAGGGTCCGTGACTTTGTTTCGGAGGATTTCAAGCTGATGCAGGACTTGAGGTCCTGACTTTGTTTCAGGGCCACCACCTCTTTCTCTGCTCTCTGGTTTCAGCTCAATCAGAGTTAAAGATGTAGATTCAGACCTACCCAACCTGGTGAAGGACTCCATGCCCTGACTGTAGTTCAGGACCATGGGGTCTTTGTCTGTGGTCTCTGGTTCCTCAACGGGGGTCAGAGACGTATCCTTGGACGTTTTCATCCTGTTCAAGTACTCATGGTACTGAATTTTCTTCGGGGCCACTACATCCTTCTCCGTGGTCTCTGGTCTCACTGGGACCTCATTCAGGATTATGGGCTTAGACTTTGATTTTTTTGACCTGGTCAAAGTCTCTATCTCCTGCTTTTGTTTCAGGGCCATGGGCTCTTTCTCTGTGGTCTTTGGTTCCACTGGGACCTCGTTTATCAGTCTTGTAGACCCTGTTTTGGACTCTTTAAGTAGGTCCTGATTTAGTTCTGGGGTTATGAAGTCCTTCTCTGTGATTAAAGAGTGTGTTTGGATTCTTTTCCTGAGTCTTAGCAAATGTTTTTGAAGCCCATTTCTCAGGGAACGCATTATTTATGGTCATACAATTACTCGTGATAATTATATTCTGTGGAGTTGGTGTCTGAGCGTCCTCTGATGTTTTTGTTTGACTCATGGACCTGACTGAGCTCCTCAACTCTTCTACAGTGTGTGTTGGTTCGAATCCCTGGGCAGAGACGCTCTCTTGATGCTCCTCGGATCAACTTTTTGAAAAAGATTCAACTTCCCTTTTTCTGTTCTTTCTCACACGTGTTGAAGACTTTGTTTCTGGTGATTACAGAGTTGACTTTGAGGCTGTTGCCTAACTCTTTTTAGACGGCTTGGATTCAGACTTTTTCGACCTGGTCAAAGTCTCTATGTTCTGCTGTTGTTTCGGGGCCACTACATCCTTCTCTGTGGTCTCTGGTCTCACTGGAACCTCATTTAGGATTATGGGCTTAGACTTTGACTTTTTCGACATGGTCAAAGTCTCTTTGTCCTGCTTTTGTTTCAGGGCCATGGGCTCTTTCTTTGTGGTCGTTGGTTCCTCTGGGACCTCGTTTAGTCTTGAAGAGTTTGTTTCCGGTGATTTCAGTGTTGATTTTGAGTTTTTAACCTCCCTCTTTTTACAAGATTTAGGGCGGATTCCAAGGACTGATTCCTAGTCACGGGGAGGAGGGGAGTCCGACTCTGGACTGATGGACTCATCAACACCAAAGCCTGAGTTGGGAGGTAACTGTTGGTACATCCTCTCCATGTTCCTGACTTTTGTCTTCGGACCAATTTCAGGAAACATGATTTGACTCCTTGGATAGATTGATCCTAGAGTCCTCTCTCCTTTCACCCAGGAATTCCTTTTCTTAGTTTCGGGACTTTTTTGGGAAGGTTCTAGACCCTGGACATCCACTGTGGACGTCCCCGTCTCTGGAGACTCTAAAATCCCATTTTCCTTCTCAAGGTCCTCAGTCAAGGCTTTCTTTGATGTGTTGAACACCATCCATTCCCACTGCTTTGGAGAGATCAGGGGACGTCCGAAAAGGAATATTCTGAGTGGTGGCTACTCGAGTCGGAAAGTACACTCTGAATTTCTGATTGATTCTCAAGCTGAAACTGGAGCTGAAACTGGAGCTGAAACTGGAGCTGAAACTGGAGCTGAGACTTAGGCTGAGACTGGAGCTGAGACTCGGGTTGAGACTGGAGCTGAGACTGGAGCTGAGACTCGGGTTGAGACTGGAGCTGAGACTCGGGTTGAGACTGGAGCTGAGACTGGAGCTGAGACTCGGGTTGAGACTGGAGCTGAGACTCGGGTTGAGACTGGAGCTGAGACTCGGGTTGAGACTGGAGCTGAGACTCGGGTTGAGACTGGAGCTGAGACTGGAGCTGAGACTGGAGCTGAGACTGGAGCTGAGACTGGAGCTGAGACTCGGGTTGAGACTGGAGCTGAGACTGGAGCTGAAACTGGAGCTGAGACTCGGGTTGAGACTGGAGCTGAGACTGGAGCTGAGACTGGAGCTGAGACTCGGGTTGAGACTGGAGCTGAGACTCGGGTTGAGACTGGAGCTGAGACTCGGGCTGAGACTGGAGCTGAGACTGGAGCTGAGACTGGAGCTGAGACTCGGGTTGAGACTGGAGCTGAGACTCGGGCTGAGACTGGAGCTGAGACTGGAGCTGAAACTGGAGCTGAGACTGGAGCTGAGACTGGAGCTGAGACTCGGGCTGAGACTGGATCTGAGACTGGAGCTGAGACTGGAGCTGAGACTGGAGCTGAAACTGGAGCTGAGACTGGAGCTGAGACTGGAGCTGAGACTGGAGCTGAGACTGGAGCTGAGACTGGAGCTGAGACTGGAGCTGAGACTGGAGCTGAGACTCGGGTTGAGACTGGAGCTGAGACTGGATCTGTGACTCGGGCTGAGACTGGAGCTGAGACTGGAGCTGAGACTGGAGCTGAGACTCGGGTTGAGACTGGAGCTGAGACTCGGGCTGAGACTGGAGCTGAGACTGGAGCTGAGACTGGAGCTGAGACTGGAGCTGAGACTGGATCTGAGACTCAGGTTTAGACTCAAGTTTAGACTCAGGTTTAGACTCAGGTTTAGACTCAGGTTTAGACTCAGGTTTAGACTCAGGTTTAGACTCAGGTTTAGACTCAGGTTTAGACTCAGGCTGAGACTGGAGCTGAGACTGGAGCTGAGACTGGAGCTGAGACTGGAGCTGAGACTGGAGCTGAGACTGGAGCTGAGACTGGAGCTGAGACTCAGGTTTAGACTCAAGTTAAGACTCAAGTTTAGACTCAGGTTTAGACTCAGGTTTAGACTCAGGTTTAGACTCAGGCTGAGACTGGAGCTGAGACTCTGATTGGGTGGAATCCTGGGCCATGATACTGAGTGTCTCTCGCTGCTTCAGAATAGTTTCAGTCAAACCCTCCATGGAGTTTGTGGGGGACTTGCTAAAACACTTTTCTAGAGTCCGTACCTCCTTCTCGGAGGTTTTCAGGACTACCTCTTTATTTATTTAACATATCTTTATTACGAGGAATAGCCTCTTGAGATGCATCATCTCGTTTTCAGGAGGGTCCTCAAAAATAGCAACACAAGTAGCAGCAGCGGTTGTCAAATAAATGCAGTTACAGTAAAGTGTAACAAATAAAAAACATAACAAATTACAGTAAATAAATTCAATAAAATAACAGACAAAAAAACTAAAAAAAACAATACAAGGACAGAAACATTCGCTCACACACACACACACACACAGAGCTCTCAGAGGTCAGAGGTCACCCTACTCCTCAAACTAGGACTGTGAAAACCAAAGGATATAATATTTAAAAGAAAGTTCAGTAGCAGTTACAAACATTACTCAGATGCCTTTGTACAGCAACTTTAAAAAGAAAAAAAGAAGTTAAAGAGCGAATAGAGGCCGGAGGAGATTCTCTGAGCAGAGACTTGTGCCTGTGGCATTGACTGGGATATTAGCTTCTGTTGGAGCTTCATTAGCGACTGACTCTGGGGTTATTACAGACAGTGGCTTTTCCAGCGGTGAGGCGGTGATGTCGCTGATACTGTAGGAGTCTACGGTGGACTTGGTGTGAGTCTTCTCTGGACTGTTGTGTATTCGTCCTCACTCTCTTCATCATCTACAATGATGGCCCCTCTCAGTTTCCTGAATGCATGTGTAGGATATGGGATCGAGACTTCATTCAAATATTGGGGCATCTTTTACTGAGGTCTGTGACGGCTGATTTCAAAGGAACCTCAGGACTTATTACTTATTTACTTACTGAACTTACACTGGACTTACTTTCTGTGTATTGCCTCTGAAGGCTGGACCTTACATGAAGCCACTCAAAGACGTACGTGTCTTAAAGGTTTCCATGGAAACGAGAGGTTCTAGATCCAGTCTGCTCCTACAGGGGTCACGGTGGAAACAAGGGGGTTCGAGAATCAGTTGGGAGAACTTCTGAACGTTCCAGAATCCCTTGATGGTTCTCATTTTAGAATGCCACGTCCTAAAGGAACACTTGAAACTTTGGACAAGGTTTGAAGTCAGTTTGATGTCAGAGAACTGGACCAAATACAATCTCATGTGAAAACTTTAGTAGATCATCGCTTAGTTTGTGGCAACAGCGAATGTCTGCGACATCACAGAATTTTGCTTATTAAGTGATTCAGAAATAATTAAATTCCATCCGGGTGGCCAGAGATGCACCCAGTCCACAGCACCAGCCCCTCCCTGATCCTCCTGCAGGAGCTGAGTCCACAGCACCAGCCCCTCCCTGATCCTCCTGCAGGAGCTGAGTCCACAGCACCAGCCCCTCCCTGATCCTCCTGCAGGAGCTGAGTCCA